TAATTTGCCTGGTAAAATAAAGTTTAAATAAATGACATAAATGCTCTAATAGTACAGGTAAGTTGTTAATCGTCCAGTCTGTGAAGAAGGCATTCAAGTAAGAATTGCATTGTGCTATGACTCATTTCCTGGCGCGTACAATTTATATTAGGTCAGCGTTCACGGTTCGACTTCTGATATTCAGATCGAGTTCTAGGTCAAACTGGTTTGTTCGACTTTCAAGAAATTGGAGTTCTAGTGAGTTCGAGAACCGAGGTACCACTGTACGTATTTGTTGTGGAATAAATCCATCAACCACCAGTATCAAAAAATGCATTTGAATTACGCTGAATTTATACATCTGATGAAAAAAATGCAACCAGTCTGACCAAATAAATACACATATTTTGTAATAGAAAATTGTGATTTTTTTTTCTTTGCGATATGACCTTCATGTTATAACAATTTATGACCAGAGTAACAGTACAGAAAAATATGTCACTTACTGTACCCCTGAACCGAATCAGCCTTTCATCCACTGTAACATTCTCTCCTGGGCTGTAGAGAGCTGGCAGCCTGTCCGCCCACAGGTCCCAGATGTCTCTGATTGCTGCCAGCTTATCAGAATCTTCTCTTTCGGCCCGTGTCGCCTTGTTGTCCAACCGCAGGACAGATATAATAAAGCAGGGACATGGTGGCTCTGAAAATTGGTCGCCCATTTTCAGTGTCCCACAGGCTGGCAGCTGCTTCCCCTTTCGACTTATACACTCCAGAAGGGAAGAGTAGCCCAAAAAATGCATCTAATTCAATTTCGTTTGTATCTCTCCAATCAGTCCCGAATTTCTTACTCCCTTCCAAATTTGTCATTTTTATTATAATAGTTTTATTTGTTGTAGGGAAAACTACATTGAAGGTAGACACGATGTCTTCAGCCCCAGCCATGCACAGTCGTGTTGGTCCCAGATTTCTCTTCATTATAAATTTTGCAGGCATCCTGCCTGCAGAAGTGCATGGAGTTGCGCTCCAGCAAATTTAGCCATTTTTGGACATGTAAGATGGATTCTGCACATCTTCATTCTCCGAACTGTCCTCTTCGCTTTCAGTACTCTCTTCCTCACTTTCTTCTGCAGTATCTGACTCTGTACTTTCTGGTGTGCCTCCATTACTCTCCATTGTCTCTTCCTCCAGGTGTTCGGAGACATTTCTTGGGTCTACAGCCACCATGTCAGCCACTGTACTGCCAGAGTACCTCACCATCTCTCCAAACCACCAAGTGAAGATTCTCTAAGGTGTGCTGATGTACCGCAGTGGCTGGCCACGCCTTTCTCTTTTGATCCCCGCTATATTTTGAAAATAATCCCCTTTGCTATGTCTGGAGAAGCACTCGGGAGTGATTGGCAAAAGTCACTGAAATCACATTTGACTGGGGTTCCATGGTGACAGACTGTTTTATTATTAGATTATGCTTTTTTATTATTATTTTCAGTCACGGGGCTGGCACAAAGGAAAACGGGGTACTCCAAAAAGCCGCTGTGTAATTCAATACCTGACCAAATGGCGCCTTTGAAGGCGCCACTGTGTAATTCTAAATCTGACATTTTAGCACCTTGCAATGCGCCACCGCGCGTCGAGTGCCGGTCAAGAGTCCCCCTTGATGTATTGCAACGTAAATGAAGTACTGGGAGTGAAGGGACAGGCAATCACACATGCAAATGCATGGCAATCAGGGCACACATTCGACTGTGTGTTAATGATCTAGTCTGCAGTTCATAGCAGCGCAGGGTTTTCCACATCGCTGCAAAGAGATCAAATACAAGAATCTACTTTGCTGACATTTGCTGTCAAAATCTTTTCAAACGACAACATTAGAATGTACTTATGCAGTACTAGAATAGAACATTGTAATACAACCTAATTCTGCTATAATGTGACATTTAAAAATTAACTACAAACTGACCTTTCTGAATTTTTCCAAGAGTTCTGTGTCAACTATGTCTTCTATAACTGGGTCTGGTGAAGCATCAACCAGAAGAGTAAATAATGTTGGTGAGAGGAGGTTTGGTGGTGGACCATCATGTACCAAGCTTACAGCAATGTCTCTGCCAGCAGTGTAGTACCAGTCCTCCCTTAGAGCTAAAATAAAATGGAATTAAAAGTAATGTAATAAAAACAACATAAATATCATGCATTTGTTATTATAAATAAAGTGTTAATCAGATCAATATCTAAAAAGCATGTAAATATACCAATAAAAGGAAGTCATAGTCATTACCAGTACTGTCAAGAGCCAAGTCATAGTCATTACCAGTACTGTCAAGAGCTAAGTTCCTGCTGTGTTCATTTCCCTCAAACATAGTTGACCTGGAAATGGTCTCCATCAGCAGCCTCAAGAATTCCCTCCTTGGTCCTCCTAAACCAACCCCTTCCTCATTTTTCCCCATGTCATCTGAGAACTTGACACACATCATCAAATTGGGATCACAGGAGACCCTTCGGAAGCCCCACAAGGCTCCCTCCCAGACAGCAGACCGGTTTATGTTAAATCTGCACTGCTGTTTTGTGATTATTTTGCTTGACAGTTACATCAGTATCTCTTGAACTGGGGCCTTTTCTGCACTAAAAACATAAAAAAAACAGAAACAGTGATTTGACAAGCATTTGAACAAACTATTTTGTGAGATTATTTGTGATAAATGATGTCCAAAATGTCATAATCAAACAATTAAGCAGCTTGTATCAGTTATCAGTTCCCATCATCCTAATCTCTTAATCTCACATTCTGTGTGCCACTTACATTTTAGTCTCCATACTAGTCCATCTATTCCTCTACGCCTTTTAACATAACTGCTGGCTGCATGGTCGGTGCCACAGCCATCTTCATCATTACTGCTAGTGTGAAGGTTGCCATCTCCATCTTAAATGCAGCCCTTGTATGCATGCATCGCACTGACTGGGTTGTGCTGTTGGACGTAGGCCTGGGCGATATCAAATCGCGATTAAATCGCGCATGCGCAATAATCACTAGGGCTTCAGAT